CACGTTGACTGATTTGGGAATACTGAGCCATGCTTGCACCCAGGAATAAATCCCACATGATCATGGTGAATGATTCTTTTAATGTGCCAGTGAATTCAATTTGCTAGCATTTTGTTGAGGATTTTGGCATCCATGTTCATCAGGGATATTGGCCTATAGTTCTCTTTTTTAGTTGAGACTTTGGTTTTAGAATCAGTGTAATGCTGGCCTCATAGAATGAATTTGGAAGTTTTCCTTCTATTTCTACTTTTTGGAATAGTTTATGAAGAATAAGTATGAACTCTTGTTTAAAGGTTTGGTAGATTTCCCCGGTGAAACCATCTGACCATGGACTTTAGTCTGTTGGGGTATTTTGATTACTGATACAATTTCTTTGCTGGTTATCAGTCTGTGCAAGTTTTCTATTTGTTCCTGTTTCAGTTTTGATAGTTTATATGTTTCTAGGAACTTACCCATTTCTTCCAGACTGCCCAATTTGATGCCATAAAATTTTTCATAATATTATCTTATAATTGTATTTCTGTGGTGTTGGTTGTGATTTCTCCTCCCTCACTTGTGATTTTATTCACTTGGGTCCTTTCATTTTCCTTTTTCATACATCTGGTTTGGGGGGGTTATCAATTTTATTATTTTTTTCAAAGAACCATCTCCTGGTTTCATTGATCTGATCTGCTGGTTTTTTGTTTCTGTATTATTTATTTCTGCTCTAATCACTATTATTTCCCTTCTTCTGCTGGCTTTATGCTTCATTTGTTGTTCTTTTTCTACCTCCTTTAGACACTGTAAGATAGGGTTGTTTATTTAAGATTTTTCTTGTTTCTTCGGGCACCTGGGTGGCTCATTCAGTTGAACATCAGACCCGACTACAGCTCCAGTCATGATCTCATGGTTCATGAGTTTGAGCCCAACATCAGGCTCTGTGCTGACAGCTTGGAGCCTGGAGCCTGCTTCAGAATCTGTGTCTCCCTCTCTCTCTCTGCCCCTCCCCTACTCACACTGTGTCTCTGTCTGTCTCTCCCTCTCTCAAAAATAAACAAACATTAAAAAAGATTTTTCTTGTTTCTTGATGTGAACCTGTATTGCTATATACTCCCTCTTATGACTGCTTTTGCTGCATCACAATGATTTTGGACTGCCGTGTTTCCATGTATATTTTTTATTTCTTCTTTTATTTCCTGGTTGACCCATTCATTGTTTAGTAGCATGTTGTTTTGCCTCCATGTATTTGTGGTTTTTGCAAATTTTTTCTTGTGGTTGACTTCAGCTTTTGTAATGTTGTGGTCAGAAAATACCCATAGTATGATGTGAATCCTTTTGTACTTGTTGAGGACTGATTTGTAACCTAGTATCTAATCTGTTCTGGAGAATGTCCCATGTGCACGTGAAATGACTGTGTATTCTGCTGCTTTAGGTTAAAATGTTTTGAATGTATGTTAAGTCCACCTGGTCCAGTGTGTCATTCAAAGCCATTTTTTCCTTGTTGATTTTCTGCTTAGATGATCTGTGCATTGTTGTAAGTGGGGTGTTAAAGTCCCCTACTGTTATTTTATTATTATCCATGAGTTAGTTTGTGTTTGTTATTGTTTTATGTGTTTGGTTGCTTCTAAGTTGGGGGCATAAATATTTACAATTGTTAGATCTTCTTGTTGGATAGACACCTTTACTATGATATAATGCTGTTCTTCATCTCTTCTTACAGCCTTTGGTTAAAAAAATCTAGTTTGATACAATTATTGCTACTCTGGCTTTCGTTTTTTAAATTTTTTTAATGTTTATTTTTAAGAGAGAGAGAGAGAGTACAAGCAGGGGAGGGACAGAGAGAGAGCAAGACAAAAAATCCAAATTAGGGTCCATGTTCTGAGATCTCAGCACAGAGCCCAATGCAGGGCTTAAACTCACAAACTGTGAGATCATGACCTCAGCTGAAGTCTGACACATTATTAACCAGCTGAGCCACCCAGGAGCCCCTGGCTTTCTTTTGACATCCATTTGCATGATAAATGTTTTTCCATTCCCCTCACTTTCAGTCTGCAGATTTTAGTTCTAAATGATTCTCTTGCAGGCAGCATATAGAGGGGGCTTGTTTTTTTTTTTTTTTTTATCCCTTCTAATACCCTGTGTCTTTTGATTGGAGCATTTAGTTCATTTTTATTCAAAGTAATTATTGATTTGAATTCATTGATAGATATGAATTATTGATATTAACTTTTTGTTGTTTCTGGAGATTTTTTCTTTTATAGCCTTTGTCACTTTGGCTCTTTCTTTCCCACTCAAGGAGTCTCCTTTAATATTTCTTCCAGGGCTGGTTTAGTGGTCACACACTCCCTTAGTATTTGTTTGGGAAACTCTATATCTCTCCTTCTATTCTGAATGATAGCATTGCTGGATAGGGTATTCTTGATTGCCTATTTTTCTCATTCAGCATGTTGAATATATCATGCCACTCCCTCTTTGCTTGCAGTTTCTGTGGAGAGATCTGCTGCTAACCTTATTTGTCTTCCCTTGTAAATTAAGGACTTCTTTTTTCTTGCTGCTTTTAGGATTTTTTCCTTATATTTTGGAAGTTTAAGTACAATATGTATTGTGGTTTGCCTGCTTTTGTTGATTTTGATGGAGTTCTCTGTGCCTCCTGGATTTGGAAGTCTGTTCTCCAGACTAGGGAAGTTTTCAGCTATAATTCCTCAAATAACTCTTCTGCCTCCTTTTCTCTCTTCTTCTTCTGGGACTCCTATGATGTGAATGTTACTACATTTCAAGGAGTCACTGAGTTCCATAAGTCTACTTTTATGATCCAAGATTTTTCTTTCCCTCTTTTGATCAGGTTCCTTATTTTCCATAATTCTATCTTCTGTATCATGTATTCATTCCAATGCTTCTTCCATCCTTGTGGTCATTGCATCAAGTCAGTTTCAAATCTCGATTATTATATTTTTCATTTTGGCCTGATTGGTTTTAAGCTCTTTTATCTCTGCCCTAAGGAACTCCCTGGTGTCTTCTATGTTGTCTGCTGGCTCTTTGTCCCTAGAGAGGCAATACCACCTCTCTCAGATGGCTCCAAGAAAGGGGGGTATCTCAGGAGATCTTCAGATCATGCCATTTGCCCCCAGGTTACCTGCCTGCCTTCTCTACAAGAGCACTGCCACATCTTCAGAGCTCTATACCAGCCACATCAAGGACCTCTAAAACTTCAGTCTTTGAGCCCCACTGGTTGAAAAACCTCACCAAAGTCAGCCCCTCTCATTTTCCCAGTCAGTGCCTTTGAGGAAGTATTTTCCTTGTGTGATCCCCTGTGCACTCCTCTCTCGACTCCACTCCACAGCACTTGAAACTCATTTCTCCAACAAACCACATCTCCACACCTCCTACCTTCTACGGTGTGGGCTTCTCTTTCCCTCTGGTTGTACATTTTGTTTTGTCAATCCTCAGATCAATTTCTTAGATATTCAGAATGATTTGATAGTTATTTAGCTATGTTTGAGGGACAAGGCAAGCCTATTGTCCTCCTACTACACTGCCATCTTAACTCCTTTTTTACATTATTTTTACTTTTGAACCATGGTAATGTTTTTATATACTTAAAATATTGAAACTCAACAAGGATTGGGAAATATAGGAAGTAATTACAAGCAGAAAAAAGTGAAACTAACTGCATAACAAATTCATAACATAAATATGCAAACGAAAAACAATCCAAATAACTGTTGGACACATCATTTTGATTATTTAACCTCAGTGGAACATAAAACAAAAATAACTCAAAATTTGAACCTAATAATAAGTGTTATTGGTATTGGTATAGGAGTAGCCATTTTGAAACTATTTTGTGTATATTTTAAGACTGAGCTTGTGAGTAAATATATTGATGTTGTTAGAAAACAGTGGTCTTACTTGGGAGAAGAGTACAAATAGGGAATGGGAGAAGAGGAGCATCCTTGTAATGTTATACTGGAGCAGAATTATCAACATGAATTCAAGATGATGATAAAATTCCTAACTGTTCAGTGAAAAGGCCTAGAAAATAGGGGTGCCAGAGTGGTGCAGTTGGTTGAACATATGACTCTTGATTTCAGCTCAGGTCATGATCCCAAGGTCATGGGATTGAACCCCACATCAGGTTCAACTGTATGTAATCCATGGGGTGTTTTGTACCAGTGAAGTGGTCCACATATACCAAGGTTGAGAACTACATTCTTCATAATCCTAGGGAATTAAATAGCTGAACAAAACAGTTCTTTTTTAAACTGCCTAGCTAGCAATAAAAGAGCCTTAAATTAAACACTCAGATGTGGGAACAAATTTTAGTTATTTTGCTTAAGGGTGTATTTGTAAAGGTCCTATAACCAGGAGTACCAGTAAAAGTGACAAAATTCCTTTTGTCTCCCAGCATGTTTAACAGTAGCTGTCAAGAGACTAATTGTAGATAAGAGTTTGGAATCTATACCAAATCTGTGCAATGTTAAGTTTAATATCCATTGTTCACAAAAATAGCTACTGGAAGAAGTAAGCTTTTCTTGGAGAAATCTTTTTTATTTTAAAGTACACATAAGGATTTCAAGATACTGTTTTTAAGTCCCTGTAATAAATAACAGTGCTTTTGATTAAATATTTACCAATTATAATTGCCTTTAAATTTTTTTCACCTTCCTTCCCTTCAAAATGAAAAATGGAACATTAGAATTTTATTTTATTTTATTTTTTATTATCTGTATTTTTTAATATGAAATTGTCAAATTGCTTTAGAATTTTATTTCTTTTGAGTGAAGTGGTTTACAATATATAGGATTTCATAGCTTTTTGTTTGTTTTCTGGGCTAATAGCTTAACAGTGAAGAAAGCATTCGTACCTCATTTTTTCTACTTGTACTATGGATGAGGAATTGGGAGAGGTATTTTAACGAATACTAATCCTTCAAAATCCTTAGTTAGAAAGTACTGTGTATTTTCAGTTATTATGCTAGTTATATGACCTTTTTCTATGTTTCTCTTGCTTTTGGTTTTTAGGGTAAGATAGCTGAACGTGGTACCCACCATGGTTTGCTTGGTAACCCTGGCAGTATCTATTCAGAAATGTGGCACACACAGAGCAGTCGTGTACAGAACCATGATAACCCCAAATGGGATGCAAAGGAAGAAAATATGTCCAAAGAGGAGGAAAGGAAGAAACTACAAGAAGAAATTGTCAACAGTGTAAAAGGCTGTGGAAACTGTTCCTGCTAAGGTGCATGAGACATTTTTTTGACACATTTGCACTGAAGCAGAATTGTTTTGTTAAAAAAAAATCCTACATTCCCATTTTCTATAATTGTTCGTTTAGATAAGATTTATTTGAAAAGGAATTTGAGTTTTACATCTTTTACAATCTGTTTAATGTGACATCTATATTTATTCCAAGATTATTTCCTTGTTACTGCCTTAGTTGTACCCAAAAACATAGTTTTTATTACTATTTGACTTTACCCCATTTCCATTTTTTGTGGCCTAATAGCCATTTGATACCCATAACCAGATGAATTATATTGGCTTCCAAATTTTTGTAGTTTTTTAAATCTCCTTTATGCTGATAATTTAGATGGAAATTATCCATTTCTTAAACAACAAAAGAGGGTAGTTTCTCTGCCTCCCTCCCCACTGAAATACTACAATTATAGAAAGGGTGTTTTTAAAAGTATTTGCCACTGGGTATCTTTTGGAAGAAAAACCTTCCTTAATTCTCATGTATGTGTGTAGAATGTTCTTCATCATTAACTGGCATTCCTAGTCATGGGAATTTTATTTTTTCATCAAAATGAGGCATTGATTTTGTTTTGAACCAAAATTTATACCATTCTCTTTAAATACTTAAAACCCTGATGTAACTTGAGAGTTGTCATCCTGGGAATATCTAAAAAGCTTAGGAAGTTAATTGCCTTTTTTATTTCCATCTTAACTATAGTGCTTTTGCTGTCTAAAGTTATACAAACAAAAAACTAAATGGAATGTATGCATGCACATATGTGTGTGTGTGTGCACATGCTCACACATGTAGATAAAGCAACAACCACTTAAAAATTATTAATGACCTTTAGGTAAGTAGGAGAAGATTTATGTATATGTACTCTAGGTGATCAGGACTTGAATCTGTGTTGACAGGTCAGAATTTATTACAAGATTTTTCCCTTCCTTTTTCAGTAATGTAATGAGTTCCTTTAAGTGTGACATAACAAGGAAGAACCCAAACAAAATAATCAAGTTTTACCTGCTAGAAGTAATGAATAAAATGTTGGTAAATATGCACTTAGAAGCTCCTCTGTTTTCCAATTTGAATAGCTTCTTTTATTTTTGAAGAAGCTATTATCTGTTCATAGGATTAGAGATGTCTCTAGACCATTGGATCATGTGGTCATTAACCAGTATTTTCAGCTAATGAAAACTTGAATTACCTGAAAAACACAGTTATTGTAAGGGCCATTAAATAAATCTTAAATATTTTTCTCTTAACTTCATCATATTAAGATGGTTCTATACAGTGAAATAATAGACAAAATGAAAGAAAACCTTCCTAGGATGATTCACTAAGAAACATCAAGAAAAGGGGCATTTATTATAGCATAATAACTTTACATTACAATATTGTATATTCATAATTTTACATTACAATACATATTCACATAAGACATTATAAAGTATAAATTTTTAAATCAGTGTTGAAACTATTTTTTAATGGATTGAAATGAATAATCTACAGTTTTAGAATATGGGCTCTGAAAATGGAGCAAGATGATAGGGTTTTATTCCTTATATTTCTTTTTTTTTAAGATTATATATTTTCTTCCTAAGGGAATCCCAGCTTACAACAATTAAGCTGAAACTAGGGAAATTTGGGAATCATAGAAAGGGAACCATAGAAATCATTTGAGCCAAATGCCTTCCTGAAGGTTTTTAACATAGAAATATCTTGGTGAGCAGATAAGCTGATTTGGAAATTATTGAACAGTTCATGTCTAAGGGTCAGCTGTGAGAACCAGAAAGAGGCCTTGGCATTTGGACAAACTGAAAGTATGCATTTACATTTCCTCTACAGGGATCTGCATCTGTAATACACCTTAAGATAAATATTTTGCCTTTTCCCTTTAGCTGTTGACAATGATTGGTTTGCACAGATGGTTAGTTTAAAAATAAGTTTTGGGGGCGCCTGGGTGGCGCAGTCGGTTAAGCGTCCAACTTCAGCCAGGTCACGATCTCGCGGTCCGTGAGTTCGAGCCCCGCGTCAGGCTCTGGGCTGATGGCTCGGAGCCTGGAGCCTGTTTCCGATTCTGTGTCTCCCCTTCTCTCTGCCCCTCCCCCGTTCATGCTCTGTCTCTCTCTGTCCCAAAAATAAATAAAAACGTTGAAAAAAAATTTTTTTAAATAAGTTTTGCTTTAAGGGCAAGATATTTAAAGATTTATGATTACTTGGTTCTGGCTCACTTTGTCCATATTGCCATCTTGCTCTCATTCTTCCTAATTGCTGGATGTGTCCATGAGTGGCAACTTTTGCCAATATATATTCATAATTTATATATACCTTGTAGCTTTATCATAGGATATTCTGTTTTGGATTAGTAGTTGAAAGCTTTGAAATATATTTGCATTGGCAGTTTTCTTAAATTATATAAAGTCCTTTCTCCCCCTGCTTTGAGTATATAGATTTTGAATATAAACTATACTAAATGACAATATTAAGTCAAATAAACAGGTTAAAACTGATTAGTAAGACAAAACTACTCAGAAAGAGAGGCTCTTTATCACAGTTTTATTGTTATAACAATTTGTGCAGATAATTATTACTAAATAAACTATGTCTTTGTGACTAGAAATGGGTGGCCCAATGAAGCAACTCTTTTCTGTGGTGCATAGGGAGAACTGACATTTTGTCATTCACACATTCGAAATAAGTATGGATAATTAATAGACACTCTTGGGGGTATGGCCTTAGAGCCTTATGCAGAAGGTGACAACTTGGACTTGTCTCAGAGAGAAAGTAATTGCAAAATTCATAATATGGGTAAAATGGTAGTAAATTGTAGTGCTTTCACTTAGCATTAAGCTGTCATATTTTTGATGACCAATCAGTGAAAGGCAACTTTCCGTTGCCCCAAGTTTTTCAGTTCTAATGGTTAGAAAGGAAACCTTTGGGGTGAAGAAATTTCTTGACTGTAAAGCATGCATTAAGGTAACATTTTGATTAAAGTTGGAAATGAAGTGCATGTTTTAATTAAAAACAAGCAGGAACAGTTTTGGTTTAAAAAACACAGTGGATTATTTTATTATTTCCTGTTCTCACACAGCTACAGAAGAATGTTTTTTTCACTGATTACTTTCTATTCCATTTCTACTTCATAAAATCATAGGATTTTAGAGTTGGAAGGAATGTAGAGGTCTTTAATACAATTTCCTTTTTCTACAAATGAGGAAACTGAATTTCAAGAGAAGTCACTCAGCTTGCTAGAGGCCAAGTTGGAATGAAAGTCCTGGCTCTTGACACCACTCCATTTCTCTTTTTGCTGGACCACATTTCCACTTAGAAGTTAAGTTTAAAAATATATTGAAGGGTGAGATTTCCAGAATGGTGAAGTAAGGAGCTCAGTAGACCCTCTCTCCAGAAAAACAATTTAACTATTTGGAATTATTTTTAAAAAAACAATCATTTACAGTTTCCAGAAAATGTCCAAAGGGCATATAGCAATTAGAAAAATACTGATTCAAGAAAACCTATTAAATATCAGTAGGAACAGCAAGAGTGTGTGGCATTTGGAGAATTACCTGCATATCCTCTACCATACCAGGTCTATGTTACAGAAGCTCTACTTTGGGTGCTCTATTCTCAGCAGCTATGGTGAAGATCTTGGGAGGAGGTAGGAATCCTCCCCCCAGCTCCCACTCTGGGGCTGTGGTTTCAACCTGGCATGAGTAGCTGCCTGTATTTCTTATCCCCTCAACCCTGTGTTGCAGAAATTTATTCCACACAGGCACAGCCAAAAGGAGTGGTGATCCCTTCGACCATCAAGCCTCCATTCTTTGAGTGGAAGCACTATTCTGTGTGCAGGCTGAGAATACTGAGGCCCTGGTTTTTTCCACCCTAGCTTACTCAAAGTTTGGGTGTTCTACTCAAGGAGGAAAAACCCCCAGAAAACCAGGGACTTCCACCATGCCCCAGTGCCCACTCATAAAGTGGTGGTTTTACTCTAGGCCCCTTACCCCCAGCTTCAGTTCAGTGGTGCACAGCTTCTTTCTAAGTGGAAGGTATACAGTGAGGACAAAGAATTCCACCACTCTGCCTGAGGGAATTGACTTCATTTGAAACAGCATGGAGAACTCTGTCCCTAAGAACATTGTCAAAAATGAGATTTTGGTGGAGAGCAATTAGGAGGAGCTGGTGCAAGCAAAGCAGTAGAGCAGCCAGAATTTTAATAAAGAGAAACCAAGAGGAAACCAAAAAGAGCCCTCCTGGGAGCACAGTCAACTCAAGATTGAAAAGGCTGTATGCATGTGCTGGGCTATACCTACTCAGGACAATTAGAGCAGAACATGGGGCAGACTTAAAAGCATTTCTTAATACATGCAGACCCATCACACAGAGTAAAAGCTTTGCTGGCACAGGGAACTTGACCAGACACTGAACAATAAATTGCTCTGATCTAGAGGTGACCTTTAGGAACACAAAAATTGCTCTGATCTAGAGGTGACTATTAGGAACACAGCCTTAAAAGTAAAATACACATCCTTGGCAATCTGGAAGACTATGTATTTGTGTAAAACTGTGCTCTCCAGAACAGAGCAGGAACCTCCCAGCTACTAGTCCCTGGTTGAATGTGGGTCAAAAGAAAACCCTCTGACATATAGCAGCCTCCAACCACATGCATGTCCAAGAGTAAAGATCTTGCCAACAAGTGCATTATGCCCACCCAGACACAACCCTTAGGTAGCTAGACTAAAAGAAATAACATCAGCCTGCGCACTGTGGAGCAAATAAACAACCAAGCAAATACCAATCCCCCAGAGGAGGAGGATCATTATCCAGGCTGTTATAAGATACTATTGTAAAACGTCTGCTTTATAACAAAAAACTATAAATGCAAAGAAACAGGAAAGCATCACCCATACACAAGAAAAGCAGGCAATAAATGCTACCTTAAGGGGCACAGATGGTGCATGTTGCACACAAAGGTTTATCAGTAAAGAAATAGACATTATTTTAA